GAGGATTGACTATCCTACTCCTCTTCATACTGTTGTAAGTCAGCCCACTTTTTGTACTAGACCAGTGTACTGGACCAGCCTTGACATTAGGCAGCTGCTTTCAGTGACAGATGCTAAAGAGCGAGGTCAGGCTCCCTACCTATTCCTCTTGAGAAATAACCCCCCCCCCAGCTTTCCCCTAGGGCATGCATTTGAAACGGGGTAACACAAATGTGTTACCAACACATGACTTACAGGTTGGCTGAAGGTACTAGTCCCTCAAGCATTGAATGTTGGGGGTGGGGGCAGGATGTGATGTTGGAGAATGGATTTCTGTGTGCCACATGGCCTTTTTTGCCCACCACTCAATTAGTGGGCAAATGTGCAAGGGGGGGTATACCATCATCCAGTGGCACAGTTGGTAGCTGTGTTAAATTGTTTCAATGAAAGAAGTGGTCTGTGACAGTAAAGAGCCTGAAAGAGAGTCTACTGCAGTTTACAGTATATTTAAAAAGGTGACAATCAGATGAAGTGGGTTGCAGTCAATGAAAGCTCGTGCCAAAGAAAACTTGTTAGCCTTCAGTGTGGATAAGATTTTTTTTGTTGGTTCTGGTCCAGGAAAATAATGTTAATCTCAGTGGGATTACTCAACAACCCCACCCCCAGACAGAAATTTGCATGTATTACTTCAAAATGTGGTAAGCCAGCCCTGATGTTTCCTGATGTTCAGGTAAGTGTGGTCTTGGACTTTTGCCCAGAATCTTTCCCTGACAGCACCACTGGATTCAACAGCCAGCCCAGTTGGCTTCCACACTTGGACTTGTGAAGACACAATGCCTTTTGCCTTATGCAGTAGATTATTACCTCTTGCAATTAGGTTGTGGATCACAGCTGTGGTTCTGAGATTTTAGATAATTCTGTTGCTGTCATTTTTGTCTTGCTTTCTCTTACTGCTGTATTATTAGTTCTTCCACTGATAAAAGGATAGAAAACTGACCATTATGCTGGCATGTATCTGCAACGTAGAATTACCTTTTATCTGCTTCTGTACCCCTTTACGCCCTTTAAAAATGCTGACTGTACATCATCATCTTAGAACTGTAGAGTCAGAAGGGATCATCAGGTCCAGCCCCTGTCAAGGAGGCATAGTTGGGAATCAAACTCCCAACCTCCTTAAGCCACTGAGCTACCTAGCAGTTCGCTTACTTGCTGCCAAGTTATTCAGTATTGTACACATAAATAAAAAACGTGGTTGTGTGCTTCATATTTTACTGATACTGTACTAATTTCTCCATTATTTCAACTTCTGTGCTTCAAAAAATTCCCTCTGTTTTCTCTCACTTCTCTTCACTGAAAAAGGAAGGGGAAAAAACCCAAGCCAATCAGTTAAACTCCTTTTCATACATTTAATTCATAGAAGAGCTGTGCCTTGATCTAATGAATTTACTTTGGATGCAGAAGGTCCCAGGTTCATCCTGCAGCTCATAAGGGATTGATATATATTAAAAAAAAACAGTAGTCATTTCCACTTACATTGCATGACTTTTCCTGGAACTTTGTTGTTAGACTGCCTGGGGGTAACACATCTCTTAACCTGCAAGTCTAACTTCTGAGCTCCAGCACTTTCCTTGCTGCTTTGATCTGGGTGCTTTTGCTTGGAGCAAGAGTCTTTTCTGCTTTCACACCAAACAGGCAGGATCTGAAACAGCCGAGTGATCCATGGAATCTGCTGACATTCATTGGCCACTGCTTGCTCAGGGGCTGCGGTTTAGGTATCTATATACTTACTGATCTTTGCCTTAATATTGCCTGTTAATGATGCAAGCTGCCTCTTTATTCATTGTTTATAGTTTTATATTGTCTTTTAATGATGTTAGCCACCATTTTAGGGTTTAAATATTGTCATTCATTGTTGTAAGCCGCCTTGGGTCCTTTTCAATTTGCAATGAATGTGTACTAAGATTGTCATAATCTTCCCACGCCATATACTTAGATTCTGTGCCATGCAAGAATTCAACCTCAATAACTTTTTACATTGCCACATTTGTCTCTTATACAAAGAGATTCCATTCGAGCAGGGATGGTGGGGGACCATGTGGACTTTAAGATGCTGATTTACCACATCTTCTGCCATCCCTCACCAGAAGGTACGCTGATCAAAACCAGTGGGAACTGGAGTCCAACAACATCTGCAGGGCAGTTTGTTTCCCACACACGCCTTAGAACATGGGGGTGCAACAGAGGTGTCTTGGGCAGCTGGACGAATGCCATTTTGTCATAGCAATTCATTGTCCAGGCTCCACGGTTTTGGTGACATGACTCTGCCAACCCCTTATGAGGGGCAGGCAGTACAGATTCTTTTTAGTACATCTTGAAGTTGGACGCAGTGATGTCGCTTTTCCCATTCCAAAACCTGGGTCTGTCCTGGCTCCCAAGATCTTTTGGCAGAAGGATAGCAACCTGGGTATGCTGCTTCTCATGCTGCCTCTAAAACTGTATGGGTGATACTGAGGGATCAAGGAGGAAAATGCCCTGTTGTCAATTTGATGTATCTGCCTCTGTAAATATGCTAATACCAGAAGACTCCAGTTTGTTTCCTGCTTCAAGGAATATCACATTCACTACATGATACAATCTGCTTATGTGCAGTATTTCCTGGTATTGCGACTATGCTGGATTGTGCTGGTACCTTGATTTACCAGTCTTACAGGCTTAACTTTGCTGCTGACTGCTTGTTAAATCTACACAAAGAGCTTGTGTTCAGTAGTTTCCCTGACTGGATCTTTAGACCTCCACATCCTTGGCATACTGGATGAAAAGACAATACAGTGGTGCCTCAACTTAAGAACATTCCGATTTACAACCATTTTGAGTTGCGACCAGCTCCGGCCGCAAAATTTTCTTTGACTTGCGGCAGGAGCTTCGAGTTGCAACTGAAAAAAGGCGGGGAATTCAAATTTGCTGACCGTTGGTAGGTGAAGAGGCTGCTTCGTTGTAGCTCTTTCGCCCCAACGGTTAGAGTGAGTGTGATCGGAGGAGGCTTGGAAGTGCCTGGAGCTGCTTTCTGCTCCTGAGTAAGTACATTTACTTTGTTTTGCAGAGTGGGTTTAGGTTTTGGGGGGGGGGGGTTATGTTTTTGTGCTGTGATGTATTTTGTGTTTTGGTGTGTTTTTTCCTCCAGTCCCGTGTGTGTGTGTTTGTGTTTTTTCCCCCAGCCCCATGGCATTCTCGCTGGGACTGGCTGGGGGGGTGGGTTGTTTTTGAGTGTTTTTCCCCCGCCCCATAGTGTTCCGCTGGGGCTGGCTGTGTGTGGGGATTGTGTTTTTTTTTCCCCAGCTCCATGGCGTTCCACTGGGGCTGGCTGTGTTTATTTTTTGTTTTGGTGTGTTTGTTTTTTGGTCCCAGTGCATTCCTATGGGGCTTGCAGTGTTTTATTTTTATTTTAATTTTTTGTTTTTGTTTTGTTTTTTTCCGGCCGGAATGGATTATTGGGGTTTCAGTGATTTCCTATAGGAAATGGTGCTTCGACTTATGACCATTTCAAGTTACGCCCAACTTCTGGAACAGATTATGGTCATAAGTCGAGGCACCACTGTACATGGTTAGCAATATAATGGTAGAAATAACTGTTTTTCTGCAAAACAGATATATTTAAAAGGTTATGATGTAATGAGGATTGAGAATTGAAGTGTGGATATACATTCCAGAAGCATAAATTCATAATTAAAAAGAAAACCAGGAGGGTGTAATTTAATTTTCCTTAACATTGTGAGATGTAGCTGGTGTGATTTGTCTGTGTGTGAAAGAAGATTGTTCCAAGCCATGGCTTGGTGATACGGCACATGCTTTGATACAGAAGATCCTACATATAGAGGTTGACCACACTGACAATTGAATCTTCAGCACTGCTGCCAGAATAGCATCTTCCACTGCACTTGAGATAGCAAACTAGTGTAGTGGGGGTTCAGGAAGAACAGGAAAGGGCATGGTATTGGTACCATTCCCCCACCTACCAGACCTACTGCTTGATGTGATTATCTTGCTTCACCTAATGCCAGGGCAGGTCCTGAAGATCAGTTACCAGTTGGCTGATTGTAGGGAGAACTTTTGCTGAAATCCCAGAGAGCTGCTGAAAGACTCTACTGGCCTAAAGTAACTGGTGGTCTGATTCAGTGAAAGAAAGCTTCATTCAGTCAAGGATTAGGCGGGAAACGTGTTTTGTTCCTAGGATAACTCATCCAAACAGGCACTCTTGCTACAAGCAGTTTATCATCACACACCGCCGAAGAACGAATGCATGCATTTTCCTGTCCCTGACAGCGAGGGTGGAGATTATTTTTCCCCACCAAATTATTTTCAGTTGTGGGCTGGTCATTTTGTGGTTGCTGAGATACAGTTTTGAAGTTGCCTGTATACTCCACCAGTCCTTGTTTATGTTTTTATTTTTCTGGATCCTGTCCTTGGTTTAAAACAAGAAGAAGAAGACTATCTTGCCTTATTTTGCCTTTTCAAAAGAAGGCAGAGTGGTGTATTCTTAGAATGTTAAAGTGCACAGGCAGGCACCAGAAATCCTTGGGCTTTGGGCCTTCTCCCCTCAGTCTGCAGAAATGCAATAAACCGAGGAAATGAGAGATAGGCAATGAGCATTTCTAGCTTTTGGTTTGGTTTGGTCATGTCATAAGAAGAGACAGAAGAAGCAATGAGGAGATGTAGGAGGGTTATAGACAGTCTGGGCTCATGTTTGAGAAAAGATAATTCCATACTGAAATATTTGTTCAGAAGCACTTCTTGAGCCTAATACCCATATATACAGTCTGGTTCTGTTTTTGGCATACCTTTCAGAATGCTGAATAATTTTAAAGTTGAAGAATAGTACATTCTCTGCAGTGTTTCCTGTACTGTGGTTCTTTATTTGAGACTGAAAATATATACATACCACTTGGCATTTATCCGTAGTCACCGTCTTTTGCAAATGTTGAATCATATTAATAATAATAATAATATCTTTTCTCTCTCTTGAGGTCAGAATGCCATCACTTCCAGCAGAAGCTGAAATGGATGCCTTGTCTTGCTCTCACTTCTCAGCCAGCATACCCAATGGAATGCTGGAGAAGGAGCCTGGAAACACTATAGAGAAGGAACCTTGTAATGCCACAGAGAAGGAGAGGAAGTGGATCAGGCCTGACACGCCAAGCAAATGTACCTGGCAGCTTGGGAAATCTCCCGAAGAATCACCACACCATCACGTTACATTGTAAGCAGCAATTCAGTAGAATGGTTAACTGAGGCAGATCTGTGTGCGTTTTAGTGGCAATGACATGACCGAAATCCATGTCATCCTATTTGATCTTTGTAAATTGTGTTCAGATGTTGGTGGACAACTCTATAGTTTTCATCCTTTAAACCCCTTTCGGTGTTTTTGTGTTTTAGGGCGAAGGTTCCAAATATTATGACAGACATCCTCAAGAAAATTGGTAACACTCCCATGGTGCGAATCAACAAGATTGGGAAACACTTTGGTCTTAAATGTGAACTTTGTGAGTATGTGGGAGGGTAGAAAGAACTGTAAATGTAATTGTCATCCATGTTATTGATAAGAGAGGCCAAAATCAAGAAGAAAAATCCATTCATGGTTTACATGTTAGCCCAGCGATGGCGAACCTATGAGCCCTTTCTGCGGGCACGTGAGCCATAAGCCACCAGATCACTATCCCCCTCCCCCAGCAGCCAAATCTCAGGAGGCGGCTGCAGCTGCAGTGCACTTAGACATGCGGAGGGTCAGGATCCAGAGCAGCTGGCACTGGTGGTGGATCCTGAGTGGAGTCTCGAGGCACCTCCATGCACGGGATTCCCCCTTTCACTCCTACTTCTGGTTCCGCTGCTGCGGCAGCCTGCTGCCTACTGTTTGTTTGTTTGTTTGTTTTCAGTTTGGCGCTGCCGCGGCAGCCTGCTGCCTACTGTTTTTTTGTTTGTTTGTTTTCAGTTTGGGCACTCGGGCCCAAAAAGGTTCGCTGCCGCTGTGTTAGCCCATTTCTCTTTTACGTATTTTCAGAGCAATGTGGCCACTCTGGGCTTGCTGATTGTACGCTTGGCCAGTTTGAAGTACAGTGGTCAAAAACTGGCAGGTTAAGAGCTACAGCTTAGGAGAGCTCAGAAAAGTTACATTTTTGAACTGTAGCTGCTGGAATTCTAGTCGCGCCTAAAACAAAAAGTATTTCCAAATTCCTGAATATTGACTACAACGGTTAAAAGTCTTCCCTAAAACGGAAGAAAAAGTACAGGAAATCCTGTGGGTGCTCAACCTTCTGCAGGAAAAGGATTTACAATCTGTGAAGCATGGGTAGCATAGCACAAGAGTTATCTCTCAATTTAGTCCTTTATCATAAAGCTACTTGCCAATGGGAGGAAGACAGTACTGCAGTGATTCAGGGTTGAATTTACAATGGGTAAATCAAAAGTTTTAGACTTTAGGGGGAAATAATTTTTGGACCACAACTGGGAATTGTAGTGCAAAAAAAAGTGAATCTTTAAAACTCTACAACAGCCTTACTTTTGACACTTTACTGTCCAGCTGAACTGCGTTAAATTGTTCAGATGCACCAAGATGGCTAAATGCAAATGATATTCGCCAAATATTTAATTGAAGGCTGGTGTTCTTCCTTCCCTCTGTGGTTTCCAGTGGCAAAATGTGAGTTTTTCAATGCTGGAGGAAGTGTGAAAGACCGGATCAGCTTAAGGATGGTGGAAGATGCAGAAAGGGATGGGATTTTGAAGCCTGGGGATACTATTATCGAACCAACATCAGGAAACACAGGTATGGACATCTTGGGTTTGGAGAACAAAAGTATTTAGAGTGTAAGTGAAGCTATTTGTGCTGGGGCTGGATGTGTGTGAAAAGAATGGGATGTAAAATGCTAACCAGTGTATATTTGGTCTTCTCAAAATGAGCACATCATGACAATTATGAAAAGGTTAAGCTTGTGTTTTCCTCTCCTTGGCGGATGCAAGTGGGATAATGAAGTGATAGTTTTAGTGTAAACAAAAGCAATACAGCTCTTCATTTTTACCAAACTGAGCAAGAAACACTGTCAGGCCTAGTTTTGCTAATGAATTAATTTGTGGGATGAACATTGCTGGTTGTAGGAAGCAGTTTCAACAGCTTTCCCTTTCTTTCAGCAGTGGTGTGATACCCGGATACACTGAATGTGAGATCCCTGGTACCAAATCACACAAATTCAGTTGGCAGCTTTCACAGATAATTTTTCACACCCGATTCTTACAGGTGTGGGCATCTTGGATTTGGAGAAGAAAAACAAATGTCATCTGTCCTGCTTCGTCACTGGTTGGGGGATTATGGGACTTGTAATCCATCATATTTGAGAGGCAGCTGGTTGATGGGAGAAATGATAGAGACAGGACTCAGTTAGGTGGGGATTTCAGTATTCTCGCACAAGCTGAAATTTCAAGCCTCTGTGGTTTCTGATAGTGATGCCTCTTTCTTGGTTTCAGGAATTGGACTGGCCCTGGCAGCTGCAGTGAAAGGCTATCGCTGTATCATTGTGATGCCAGAGAAAATGAGCATGGAAAAGGTAGAAGTACTTGTTACAGATGCTTGAAGATCAACAGTTGATTGAATAATTGCTTTGCTAAGGCCATCAAAGCAGTTGATTGTTTATGGGGTGGAGATATAGCAAGATTCATTCATTCATTCATTCAAAGAGATGGGGGCACCACGAAGAAAGCATGATTTCTTATGTTCAGCCTTCATAGTGCATAGAACTCTCTGGTAAGTTTACAAGAGTCAATTCAGTCAAATAATACACAATACAAAACAAACTTACAATTTATATTGACAAATAATTATTCCCCTGCCTCAAGCAAATCCAATTATAAATAAAAAATAAACAGTTAAAATCCAAGGTCAATATTAATAAATGGCCACTATAAAAACTTCAGTTTCACCTCTTTCTTAAAAACCTGGAGGGAAGGAGCCTGTCGAACTGCTGTTGGAAGTTTATCCCAAAGAGATGGGGGCACCACCAAGAAAGCATGATTTCTTATGTTCAGCCTTATGGCCTCCTTCAGTGTCACTGTTCTTGAAATCAGAGACTGCAAAGAGCAGGCAGGATGGGTATCTGTTTTGTAGGAGAAATATTCCAACCAGTATTGAGGCCTAGTGATGGCGAACCTATGGCACGTGTGCCACAGCTGGCACACAGAGCCCTCTCTGTGGGCGCACGAGCCATAAGTCATCATAGAAAAATACTTACCCGTCCTCCAGTCCCAGATTTCAGCACTCCCCTCTGTTGGTGCAGTGTTCCAGCGGAGGGGTGCAATGGCGACCATTACCGGTCTTGCCCAATGGGGGATTGGAGGACCAGTATTTCTTTGTTAATACCGCCTGGGGGGGGGGGAGGGAGAGGACAAGCATTTAACCCTTACAGTGCAGGAGCAGCAGTGTTGGCACTTTGAAATAAATACGTTGATTTTATGTTGCAGTTTGGGCACTCAGGCTCAAAAAGGTTCACCATTGCTGCCCTAAACCATTCAGGGGGCTACTTGCTTTATTAATAAAATGATAAATGAGGTTGGATGATTTAGGCAGACATTTCTCTGCCATCTCAAGTGATTGTATTTGTGCTGTCAGTTTGCAAACTGACTAAAGTAGGTGGTCTGATATAAAACATGAAAGGTGGAGTCGAGTCATATGAGTGACTGAAACGATGTATTTGTTGTGCAAATTTTGCTTTAAAAATGTTTTTCTGTTCGTAAATCAGGTGGATGTACTGAGGGCTCTTGGGGCTGAAATTGTGAGGACTCCAACTACAGCTAGATTTGACTCCCCAGAATCTCACGTTGGGGTGGCCTGGAGGCTGAAGAATGAAATCCCAAACTCCCACATACTGGATCAGGTAAAGCACTGACAGCAAAGTATTAAAGACGGCTGGGTTTCTAGCAGGGTGCATGCAGCATTTGAGAGAAATCTTCTTTTCTGGGGTTACAGTTTTGGGAATCTGGCCATCCTGGCTGGGGTTTCTGGGTATGTAGTCTTTTACATTCATCATTTAACATACGTGAAACAGTGCGAAGCCCTTTTTTCAACAGATGGGAAACTGAGGCTGAAGGTCACTCACCTGAGCTGACCTGGTGCCTCATTAGTTGAATTTGCATCTGAACCTACAACAGACCTTGTCTGTCTGTCCTTGGATATAGAGGTGGCTCAAAATACTTCCTGAGGCGGAGCAGCAAAGCCGTCCTCACCCCCTGTGTCTACTCATCTCAAAGTATGTGGAACCCCAAGGTAGAAAAACCCACATAGACTTCTCTTCTTCCCTGGCAGTAAAAATATGACACCTGAACCTCCTGTCTGGGGGTGCCAGGGCCTAACTACTATCTCTGCTTTTATTTTCTGCTTTTATGCCCACTAGCTGTGTGTGTTTGAAGAAGCTGAACCTTCTGGCTCTGCTTAGTTATCCATCAAGTTATTAAGCTTTGCTGTCTCCCCACCACCACACGCAAAATCTTTTCTTTTTTAATACAGTACCGCAATGCCAGTAATCCCTTGGCCCACTATGACACAACAGCTGAGGAGATTCTGCTGCAGTGTGAAGGTATGTTCAGCCACCAGGCATTGCCTCTGTTCACCATACATTGTTCTTGGAGAAACAGGGAAATTGAGAAATACTGAAAAGAGGGGAGGACAGGCTGATAAATCAGGACTCAAGGGGCTTCTGTCCACTAGACATCTGAATGGTGCCAGTATAACTGGACTGGTCGTTAGCCCTCCTCTTCACAAGTTACTGTTCAGACCCAAATGCTACGATACATTTTTGGGAAATTAAAGATGTTTAGCCCATCAGGAGCAATTTTCAGAAATTAAAGACTTTCCGCCTGTGTCTCATGACCTCCAGTGGCCTTGAGAAATTGGATTTTTTTTAATTTCTCAAAAAGCGCTAGGACTGATGGTGTGTCATCAGCCTTGCATGACAGAAGTTACAGGACAGGAACTCAAATATGGTGTATCTAAAACATTCATAATGTAGGAATGTATCCAAAGAAACAGTCCTCTATCAAGAATCACCGAGGGAATTTTGTGGCTTTGAAATGGATTTAGGTCTCTTATCTTTGTTTTCTCATTCTCTGTTCATATGTGCACAGGCAGTGTTTGTTACTGTTTTATTTAACTTGTCTGAAGGTCTCAGAACAAGGCATCTCCTTTCATGTTCTCCTGGCCATGTTTACATGTAATTAATGTGATGTGGTGCCATCACTGAGTTCACTGCAAACTGCAGCCAATGAAGTGGGTGGTAGGAAAACTTTGAAAGCCAGTAGTGTTGCATCATCTGTCTTCTTCAAAAAAATTTTTTTGCCAGATGCCACATAAGGTAAAGGACCAGATGTGGGTGAGGGCCAGCCACGTATTTCTTGCAATGTGCAACTAATCTAGGCTTCATCATGTGCTGAAGAAATAATAATTCTGTGATCAGCCTCTGTGCAGGGGTTCCTTTTTAAAATTTGTCACCTTGGAGTCAGCAGAGGGAGCTCTTGCATAACAATTATTATATACTGATTGAAAGAAAGCTTGTGTTTTGTACCTATCCTGTACTAAGAAGTGATCCTTATACCCGGTTTGAGTGCATGACTGCAACTGGTTTTTAGAATGCTAATTTAAATTTGTAGTATTGCTGCATGGCGGATATCTGAATGCTTTATGTTGTCTGATATTGTAGTTCAAATAAAACATTGCACAGGAGGCCTTTGAACAAAAGGCAGTATGGGTGGCAGTTGGGCTCCTGTGCTTCTGACAGTAGCATGGAAGGGAGAGTTTTAGCCAGAGAAGCTTCTAGGGTTGCAAAAATGGAGAAAGTGCTGGCATGTTGTTTTATTTGCTTATGTAAAAAGTACTGGAAGCTCATCTAATGGGTATACAGTGGTGCCCCGCATAGCGACGATAATCCGTTCCGGAAAAATCGTCGCTATACGGATTCGTCGTTATACGGGGCAAAAAAGCCCATAGAAACGCATTAAAACATGATTAATGCGTTCCTATGGGCTTCAAACTCACAGTTCAGCGAAGATTCTCCATAGCGCGGCCATTTTCGCTGTTCGGTAAGGGAGCAATCTGTCCCAGAAACAGCGGGTGACCATTTTGAAACCGCCAGTCAGCTGTTATAAAAGCATTGCTATGATCGGAACTGATCATAGCAAAGCGAAATTCCACTGCCAGCCAGCCCCGGGCAACGCCCGGCCTCCTTCCCGGGGCTGTCCCGGGGCACAGATGGGTGGGCCGGAGGGTCTTTCTCTGGTGAGCGAGGGCTCGGAGGAAGGCAGCCGCCCGGGTGGGAAGGGACGCACCAGCCACCCACCTCTCGCCAGCCAGTCAGCTAGCCCGGGAGACACCCGGCTAAGGCCGGCGAGTGAGGGCTTGGAGGGAGGCAGCCGCCCGGGGTGGGGAGGAGGGGAGGGAAGGGACGCGCCGGCCACCCACCGCTCGCCAGCTAGCCCGGGAGGGGGAGGAGGAGAAGGAAGGGGCGCGCCAGCCTAACGCCGCCAGCCAGCCCCGGAAGCCTGGTCTCCATGGCCGGGCGAGAGCGAGGGGAGGGAGCGCGGCTGTCTCCAGCCAACGAGGGCTCGAAGGCAGGCAGCCAGGAAGGGGCGCGCCACCCACCGCTAGCCAGCCAGACAGCCCCAGACGGCCAGTCTCCATGGCCGGGAGAGAGCGAGGGGGAGGGAGCGCAGCTGTCTCCAGCCAACGAGGGATCAGAGGCAGGCAGCCGGGAAGGGGCGCGCCACTGACCGCCAGCCAGCCAGCCCCGGACGCCCGGTCTCCTTGGCGGGATGCAGACGGGGCGAGGAGGAGGTCTCTGGCGTGCCGCCCCCCAAGCCTCTGCCGCTCTGATCCCGGTCCAGGCGGGCGCCTCCTCTTTTGCAGCGCTCTGGCTCGGCGCCCGCCCCAGGAGTGCAGCTGGGGATTGGGGCCAGGCCCTTCCCCCCTCCTTCCCTCCCTCCTCCCGAGGCAGGCGCCAATCAGGAGCGCCCCTGCTCCCTCCCAAAGGCCCGCCCGTCAGCTGTTCCAAAAGGCGAGCCTTTGGGCTGCTGGCGGAGAAGCGCTTCCCTGCGAGCAGCCCAAAAGCTCGCCTTTTGGAACAGCTGAGGGGCGGACTTTTGGGCTGCTCCCAGAGAAGCGCTTCCATGCCAGCAACCCAAAGGCCCGCCCATCAGCTGATCCAAAAGGCGAGCCTTTGGGCTGCTGCCGGGGAAGCGCTTCCCCGCGAGCAGCGCAAAGCCCGTTTTTTGGAACAGCCGACCAGCGGGGCCTTTGCGATGATCGTGGGGGAGTGCTCCCCTGCGATCATCGCAAAGCGAATTTTCCCCATAGAGGCCATCGCAAAACGATCGCTCTTGCGATGGCAAAAAGTCCATCGCAAAACGATCGCTCTTGCGATGGCAAAAAGTCCATCGCAAAACGATCGCTCTTGCGATGGCAAAAAGTCCATCGCAAAACGATCGCTCTTGCGATGGCAAAAAGTCCATCGCAAAACGATCGCTCTTGCGATGGCAAAAAGTCCATCGCAAAACGATCGCTCTTGCGATGGCAAAAAGTCCATCGCAAAACGATCGCTCTTGCGATGGCAAAAAGTCCATCGCAAAGCGATTTCATCGCTAAACGGAGCGATCGTTATGCGAGGCACCACTAATTGCTACGCTTGAGGTAACCAGCGTTGAGAGACAGACATAACAAGAGCAGAGTATTTCCCCCGTGCCCATAAAACATGGATATGTGGAAGATTGCAACCTTTATAGGCCTATGATGAATGGGATTTGTAGCATGCTGTAAGAAAATGGGTGCACATGTACTGTATTTATTTCTGTTATGGCAGCCTTCAGTCTTATCATATGAATGATCATGACTGGCATAAAATATTCCATACAGTATTTACCTCATATTAGTTCTGTGTTGATATTAGTTTTGTGTTAATAATAATGCAGTTGGAACTGCAGAGCTGGGAGGGGCCCTATAGATCAGGCTTGTCCAACCTGCGGCCCGAGGGCCACATGCAGCCCAGGTTGGCTCATAATGCGGCCCAGAGCAATTTTTTATTTTTAAAGAAATTCCAAAATTTCAAGTTACACTGCCGGCACTTGCGGCCGGAATGCAGCTGGGGCACGTCACAACGGTGGGGGGGAGAGAGGGAAGGAAGGAAGGAGCGGGGGGGGAGGGAGAGGGGGGGTGGATGACTGCATTGCGCCGTCCCGGTCAATAGGTGGCCCCCCTCCCAGCCCCATAAAGCCGCTGGAGTCGAAGCTGGCAGCCTCTGCTGTCTGAGATCGCAGCTGCCGGTAAGCGCGCTTGGAGCAGGGCTGCGGAGGACGGCTAGGGCTGCCCCCCCATGCGGCCCAAACCAAATTTATGTGTGGCCCAAACCAAATTTTCATCTTCTAATGTGGCCCAGGGAAGGTGAAAGGTTGGACACCTCTGCTATAGATCATTGAATCCAACCCTGTCAAGGAGGCCCAGTGGGGACTCAAACTCCCAACCTCTGGCTTTGCAGCCAAATGCCTAAACCACTGAGCTGTCCAGCAGTGGATAAGTAAGCAGTGTTGGACATGTGTTAGACCAAAATAAATGCTTATCATTTATTTTGAATTTTGGGTACTGCATGCTTGTAAACTTCAACTGTATCTTTATTTTTGCTTGCTTGATAGGTAATGTAGACATGGTTGTAGCTGGTGCTGGTACAGGAGGCACCATTAGTGGCATTGCCCGCAAACTAAAGGAGAAATATCCTGGATGCAAAGTAAGTCTGAAATTAGAGCATCTTGTTCACTGCTTATCACTATGGAACTTCATAACATTTTAAAAAAACTGTAGAGTCCTCCCTATTTCAGATTACATAGTGCATGAAACTCTTAGTTATTTAGAGGTAGTGCCTCAATTCTAGGACTACATTAGTAAACCTTGCCCACAAGTCCCTTCTAAAAATCAGTGCAGATGGCACTGCTAGAGTTGACATTTTTGCCTGATATATATTGATTTAATCCTCACAAGCAATAGAATTCTAAATGTATATGTTTTTAAAAAAATGTTTCTGGGCTTCTTTCCCTTTGTGCTCTATGTTCTGAACTCTATTCCTTACATAATTATTTGAGCAATAACAGGCTTTCACATCAAGAGGTATGTAACATACTGTAATACTATGCCTCATGTCACTTAGGGGTCCCTGCTCATTGGCACAAAATACATACCCTGTAATGAGAGATAGGATCTGAATGAAACCCATGCCAGATGCCTTGACCTCCAGCCTTTTCCTAAAGCAAGTGAACTTGGCATAGGAGCAGTGGAGTTTTTCCACAGGCATTAAATGCATTGATAAACTTTTAACTTGAGCATTTCCAAAAAAACCCAAAGGAAGGGGAAATGTTCTTTCTGTTCCTTCTGTTTACAACTGTTATGCAATATTGAGGTGTCATTTTAGTATTGAAATGGCAATCTTAAATTGTTCTGTAGATTATAGGTGTTGACCCTGAAGGATCTATCCTGGCAGAGCCCGAAGAACTGAATGCAACAAACAAGAGCACCTACGAAGTTGAAGGGATTGGATACGATTTTATCCCTACAGTTCTGGACAGATCAGTAAGTCTAGTTCATTTCCACTTTCCATCCATATTTGTGCCTTGCATATGTTCTTCTCCCCTTTAAATACATCATGCTGGAGGACCCCTAGTTCTCAGGGGTGTGAAAAACCTTTTCAAATAGTTGCTGGGAACAAACCATAATTTGTGGGGGGCAGTGTTGCTCTACAAACTTTATTCATGTTCCTGAGCATCACTGCCTGGGTGGTCCCTTTTTATGACTACTGGAATACTTGAAATCAAATTGCTAAGGAAGGCATTGCCCTACAGTTGCAACCAAGCTGGTGAATGGTTCATTCATGGCTTGGCTTAGCAGCGCTGGTGCCATAAATCCCCCTATAATCACCTATCATTTTCTTTTGTCCCCTGAATACTGTCAAGACATCAATAGCAGCTGGTGTCTGTCAGAGCTGATGGAGTAGAGGGTGTGTTGACTTGTTATAGGCCAGAGACGGGCAAGTGCTGGGGGCCAGGAGTCAAACTGGCCCCAGAGCCAAGATCATGCTTCATAGATCAAGTGCTTCATCAAGGCACTCTCAGCAATGCTGAGGCCAAAGTGCCATTGTCACTGAGGCAGATAAAGTCTCATTCTGCCAGGTCTCAACCCCTAGTAATGAAGGGTTACCAACAAACCATTTCTGAAGACCATTAGTCAGCTACCAAGTTGACTTTGAACATCTTCCCTGAAATGTGCGATAGTGCACCAAGATTCTGCCTCCTGTTCACCACTTATTGGCATTGTCAGTATGAATATAATACCAGAGTAGAAAGTCGGGTATAATGTACTATATTGTTTCTGTTTCCTTCTCTCTTTTTTTAGTTGGTAGATGAATGGTATAAATGTAATGATGAGGAATCATTTACCTTTGCACGCATGTTAATCAGAGAGGAAGGGTTGCTTTGTGGTAAGTGCCATCCAGAAGATATGTTTGGAGTACAACTTCTGAAGTGAAGAACTGATCAGTCATTTTGACGGTGATGGTGGAGAAAGAATTATGGCAAAATGTTTACTTCTGAGGTCAGTTCCAGCTTCCTGCTGCCATACTGGTGGACTACTTGTATGGTGCTCCCATCCAACATACACATTATGTGTTGAAGCCTTTCCTGTGGCTGAAATGTATAAAATATATATTGCAGGCTTTTGCTAGAAGAGTGCTTGGGTGAGGGAAGGACGTTGCCAAAAGTGAAATCTGGGCCTGCCTCAGAATCAGTTCTTAATTTAGAATAAGTTCATAATCTAGAAAAGGGTGAAGGGGCTAATCTGTAGCCCTGGGGCCACCTGTCTCCCTCCACCCCCAGCTGTTTTTGCACCTCTCAGCCCTGCAGTGACATCTCCCCCTCCCCCCCCCCAAAAAAAGGCAGATTGTAGCTCTTGGGAGTCTTCAGGATTGGTGATTTGCCATTTGAATGCCACAGCTCCACTTGCACCATTTAACATCCCAAAATGCTCATTTTTCGTAATTGGGCCTGGACTTCTTGCCACTTCTTTTTTCTTTTCTTTTTTCTTTTGGTGGTTTGAGGGGCCATTGTACTATCCTGAGATGTTAGTGCCCATCTATGACCTAAAAGAAAGTGCAATCAAGCCCAGCATCCTGCTCCCAAGAGCCTCTTTCAGCAGCCACCCAAGGGAGGTAACTACAGCTTTTAGTCTGGGCATGCTCTATGCTCAAAGCAAGGAGCATGTTTCTGTTAATGTGTCCTTGAAAGATCATCAAGAAAAAATTAGCAAGTGGCTGTCCTAGCTGTTTTATATACAGTGGTGCCCCGCATAGCGATGATAATCCGTGCAGCAAAAATCATTGCTATATGGATTCATCGCTATGCGAAAAAAAGCCCATAGGAATGCATTAAAACCCGTTTAATGCGTTCCTATGGGCAAAAAACTTACCTTACTGCGAAAAGCCTCCATACGACCACCATTTTCACTGCCCGGTAAGCAAGGAATCCGGGCAAAAACACAGCGGGCAGCCATTTTATTTACCTGGCAGCCATTTTGGAACCGCCGATCAGCTGTTCTAAAACATCGCTATGCGAAAATCGGTAAGCGAAACAGCTTACCGATCATCGCAGTGATATTTTACCATTTAAAACATCGCAATGCGATCGCAAAAACAATCACAAAAAAATTGTCGCTATGCGGATTTGTCGTTAAACGAAGCGCTCGTTAAACGAGGCACCACTGTATTTGCTTTGGCACTCCTCTGTTTTAAGTTCCTATTACTATGTACCTATTACTATGTACTATGTACTATTAGTATTTATTCTTAATGTAAGAAAACAGTAGCAGTCAGATGCTCCTGGGAAGGAAAGGATCCGATTGAGGAAGGCTTAGAGCAGTTGGCTGTGGAATCAGAAATCAGGAGCTCAATTCCCATTGGGCTTCCTGGGACAAAAGTCAGCCTGTGTAGCCTTGAGCAATCTGCACAGCTCCAGAACACCCCCAGAAGAAGGGAATGGCAAACCACTTTTGAGTACTTTATACCTAGACAACCCTAGAATGGGCCATCATGAGTTGTAATTGACCTGGTGGCATATTAAAAGGAACTTGTTATTTATTTTCTGTCCAGAGGTTTGAAATGTTACTTTTGAACTACAGCTCCCAGAATCTTTCAATCAGTGTGGCAATTGGCTGTGCCAGCTGGAGTATTCTGGGATTAACACTCCCAAAAGGTACTGTTTTAAGAGCCTTGCTTTTGTCTATACTTGTACATAGTGCCATTGAACAATACGAGTTTTCAAGAAGCTTTGCAAGGCATTACAGAATACCTCTATGAATCAATTGCAGGGATAATAACCTTCCCCAGGATGTGCAGTCTTAGAAAGACTATGTAGCTTATTGATCTAGATTCTAGAAGCATTGGTCTTCCGTTGCTTGAGTGTTGACTCTTCTTGGACAGGGGGCAGCTCGGGCAGCGCCATGTCTATTGCTGTGAAAGCGGCCAAAGTGCTGAAGGAAGGCCAGCGCTGTGTTGTTATCCTTCCAGACTCTGTTAGGAACTACATGTAAGTAATGTCACCCGCATTTCTATCTTTCCTGCCTGTCATATAATGCTGAGGTGACAATCCCTGCTCTCATGGTTAGGCCTCTGACTTGGTGGTGGGCCTCCAAAACTGATAGCAGCCCCATGGGATGTTTATGACCACTTCTGTAACGTATGGCAAAGTAATTTTTATCCACTGGAATACAGGGAGTGTTTCATTTTATATCTATGGAACTATACTACAGCATTAAAATGGTTGTACATGAAACATTATGTTGTACAGGTTTTTAAAATTATAGTAATAAAAATGAAGTTACGTTGTTTGGATTTTTAAAGTATTAAACGTGAGAGCTCTGTTATGAGGAAGGTTCTTGACTGTTGTTTTTGAAAATAATTCTTGCTAAGGTTCTGGATATTTTAAGAACTGCCACCTTCCCAGACCTTGGAATAATTAGGCTTTTGGACTGCAGCTGGAGGTTTCTGGGACTTGCAGTCAGGAAGAGGTGTGCTTCCCTTACCATCCTGCCTGTGCCATAAGATCCGGCAGTGATCCTTCTCTGCATCCCAACTGTGGTGGGATGGGGATGAGAATCAGAGCCTTCTCTGTGGCCATACCTATGTTGTGGGGTTCTAAGAACTCCTTTGGCAGCCTCTGTTTTATCTGCTTCGACTGTCTGTTTTTATTACTTTTCCATTCTCTTTTGGAACTCTTGCATATTTAATGGTTTGTCCTAAATGTTGTTATCTGCCTTGAGTGGCGGGTAAGTTACCGAAGGGTGCCACACACATTTGAATACAAATATATGAACATAATAAAATGAAGATTGCCACTTTATTGATATATCCATATAAATGTTTCAAACTTGTCTGAGAGCCACATGCTTAAAATGATATTTTTTTTATCATACTTGTGAGTCATGAAATTTCATGCCACATGCTCGTTTTATAGCTTATTTACCTTTAGGGCCAGGCATAACCTAAATTGGTGCTTGTGACTTCTTGGTGGTTTCCAGGTCAAAATTTTTGAGTGACAAATGGATGACCCAGAAGGGGTTCATGACGGAAGAAGACAGCAGCATTAACAAACCTTGGTAAGAGCACGATGAATATTGTGGTACAGTCAAACCCACTTCTGAAGAACTTATTTATCCAAAAATCCTCCATATTTTACGAGCATTTTTACAGTATTTACAGTTACATTTAGTTGGTCCATGTTTATGCACGAGAGCACGCTGGGAATTAATCTTGCTGTTCCTCAAATCTCCTTTTGCCTCCCCCAGCTCCCTTCCCCTCTCCCCCAGATCACCTCCTTTCTCGCTCATAAATACTCAGTCATGAGACAACTTCAGGACTAGTCCTGCCTTTAGGCAAAGTAATGCAGGTTCACAGGCAGCAGATGATGGGTGAAATGCAGCGGTTGCCCCTGGCTATTCCTCCTGACCGTCTGTAGCTATTCCGTTGGCAGTAAAGGGCAATGCTGGAGCATATAGGCTATCCTGCATCCCCTGAACTAGCCTCCTTCTCTTGAGTATGCTGGGGGAAGATATCCTGTTCTCAGTGTTGGAAGTAAAATTCAACCATCTATCTCATTTGACTCTGTACATCAAATGCAGGGAGTTGCAGAATGGGCACCATCTTGTCCTTCACCTCAGACAGTAAAACATCTTGAGCTAGTTTTTCACATCTTTAATGTTATTTTTTTTTTTAATTCCCTGATTTTGCTTAAGCTGCTAATGAAGCAACCAGCATCTGATAACACATTTTGGCATTATCTATCAGGAAAAATAAATAAAGAAATAAACAGGCACATTTTTGCCCCCTCTTTGTAAATAATCTATTTTTCCTCCAGCCTTCATTTTGCTATGTTGATTATGAGAGGAGAGGAAACAGTTGATTAGCAACTGAATGGCAATAAAGGGGGTCTGACTTAGCAGAGTTTGATCTAAGCTCATAACTCTTTGGTCTCTGTCAGTTCTCACTCTGTACTGTGTGCGAATGTCTAGGTGTAGGGTTTTTTTTTTCCCATCCTTAGGATTTAATTCCAGCTCTGCTAAACTCAGAGTCATGATTTTGATTTCTAGAAGGGTTAGCCATATTCTTGATTGCTGCAAAAGAAACAAAGAGGCTCATGGCTTTTAAGAGACTAGAAGATTTGTTGTGGGTGTGAGGCATATGCATCTGTATGTAGTCATAAGTATACAGAGAGATACTAAAAGGGCATGAGATGTCCATCTGTGTCCATTTTATATGTGCAGCTTAACATGAACAAAGAAGCCATTCCTTCTAAGAGTGAGTAGCATTAATACCTTCATCTAGTCTGGATGATTGTGCCACATTGGTTGTGTTAAAGTCATCGTATGGAGTTGTCATAGGCTGTACATTTTTGCTTTTCATGATTGTTTGGCTCTACTAATTCTAGCCTTTGCAGTTTTTATTCTATATAATCATATGTGCCTGTCAACCAAGGTTATCATTTCATGTGTCTGATAAAGTGGACTCTGGTCTGAAATTTTACATCAGAATAAAATTAGTGTTTAAGCCACTGCAAGACTTCCTAAAAGGCTGATGGTTAACTCTTCTAGAATACAGCCTTTTTTACTAGGTGTCTAGCTGTTGCTTGTATGCACTGTTGCAATATAAATCCCTATTTTTCATTCAAGACGCATCACACCATGAAAGGTTGCAGTGATCATTGTTAGACTGTATTATTAACATATACTCCCCAAGAAAATACTTAATGTATTGTATTTATTATGAAACGTGTTTGTTTTGAGCGACGTATTATATTTCTATTTCTTATGCAAGACCTATTGATGCCTAATTGGGCACAGATAATTAGATCCATACATACATGTATTTGAAGTAATCTTGTGTTACCTTTAAATGAGATGAGTGCTGTCATGTGAATACATGTTATTGTGAAGAGGTGAGTGGTAGGTGAAATGGTTAAAATCAATTTGTTATATTAATTGTTAATAAATATCATTAATCATTGCCTCTTTGAAATAAAAAAGGAATTTATAAGTGGCCAACAATGGCCAGACCCCCATTACTTCCCCAAAGTAACAAATCAAGATAACATGAAAAATATTATTGTTGTTCCAAAAAGTGTATTGTCATTGGTGTTCAACAATTAAAAAAACAAATTTAAAACTTTCTGATTAATTTTTTTACTAATTGGGGTAATGAATAAATGTTAATGAATTATTTCTGAGCTTTGCCAAACACAGCCAATGTCCAAAATGTACATCCAATTTAAGAACTAGCTGAATGCTCGAATACTACACTAAAATGGCTTTTTCTAAATTTGAGGCAAAGGTATGTGGCTGTATTTAGATGCAGTAATTGACCCCATATATTTTTACAGGAAAAGCTTATGTTTACTAAGACACAACTTGATCCCCAGTGTTTGAATTGCTTGCTATAAATTCTGGTGTGGGGAGTGATTTTACAGTATTTCTTTCCTGTAGGTGGTGGCACTTGAAAGTTCAAGAATTAAGCCTCTCTGCTCCTCTGACAGTTCTACCATGTGTTACCTGTGAAAAGACCATTGAAATACTCAGAGAGAAGGGATTTGATCAGGTGCCAGTTGTTGATGAATCTGGGTATGTGCAGCCTTAAAGGCTTTTTCTCCTCCTCCAAACATAAAGAGTTTTAAGAGGATTATCTTATGTGTCTAGACACCGCTCACTGATCTTTCCTCTAATTTAGGGCACAACTAGATGGGAGAATCTGGAGTGATTAGGTCTCACTTAAAAGGCTCTTATTTGGTGGGCAATCTATTTTATCATACTTGAATGATCCTTCCATTCACATGGAGAAGGATCCAGACAGCTCAGATTGCTCCAATCTCTTCCCCTTTTGATGATTGACACCCTTCCCTTCCCCTTTCCCTACCTGTTGTTACAGCTGTTATTCCACAGCAACTTCCTTTTTTTTAATTTAGTAAGTGGCACAGTGCTATAGCAATGTGTCAGCTTAGCATGGATGCTCCCTTGTATCTAGAATAGTGATGTCACTTAGGAGAATGTTTTAAAACAATTGTGAAAAGAGGAAAATAGAGGAGAGGGTTTCTCTACAATCCTTTCTACTGTCACAACCCACTTCATACAACACAGGTTTATCACTGAAGAGAACACGGCTCTGTTTGGGAACAAATCAGGCCGTAGTGCTGTGCCAAAAAGGACTAGAACAGCTTGCAAAAGCAGTGGGATAGATTGCTCTTAGTTGAAACACATGGTTTCAGGAAAACAGGACGAACCAACCCACACCAAAAGTGAAGCAAATAGTGAGCAATATCCTTATCGGATTGACCCTTTAGTTTCCTTAAATGGAAATCACTGCATTTCACAGTGCTGCATGATTTGCTTGCTTGCACCTTTAAATTACATTCTACTTGATGCAATTTGTTGAATCAAAGATTGGAGCCTGGAAATCTACTTTTAAGAGAAATGAATACAATGACAGGGCGATGGTATCCATAACTGAACAATGGTGGACCGTGTTCTGGGTTCTGACCCTTCACTTGAATCTTGACTTGTGCCTTCTTCACTAGATTGTGTTCCTGGTACAACACTCCCTTTGAAATGGATTGCATGAGTCACCAGGCTGCTAATGAAAGAGTTTGTCTACATTGCACAGTTTTTAGCAATATGATGTCACGAAGTCACTATTACCTGCCATGGGCTAATGTCGTGGAGCCCTGGGGCTTGTAGTTTGGCCAGATATTTTGAATTCTCGGCTAAAGAGCTCTAGTGCACTCCCCTGAGCACAAACAGAGAGTTCTAAATACCTGACAAAACAGCAAAACCCCGGATTCCATAAAATGGAGCCAGGGCAGTTAATGCTGCTGTTAAACAGAAGTTTGTAATGAATAGTATAGGTACACTTGGGGTCAGGCTTGCTATGAAATGTTCTCCTCTTCCCCCCCCCAGCACCCTTTTTTTTCTTTTCAATCCGTCTGTTATAGCACCTCAAGAAAGATTTTTGAATGTCACTTCCTTGAGGTTAAAGGTAAAGGTGCGGGTGGAGTGGCAGCTTTTAAAATCTGCCTTTAAACTTATGACATGGTTTATTACCTTGTGAGGGTTATGATCATCATCTTGAAATTACCCATAAAAGAATTAACTCGGCTCAGCTTGTACCTTAGCTGTGAAGTCAGCCAAGTAGGGAAAAAATGGCTGATAGGATGGACAGTGTTGTGGGCCTATTAACAGGATAACAAGTTGCAATGCAGGTAGGATGTTCATGCTCAGAATTCATCCTGGTTTGTTAAACAGAGTTCATTTTGTGCTTCTCTGATCATTTGTTGCAACAGCACTTCCGATTTAAGGGTAGGCTGCATCATTTACAGACACAACCTGAATTGTAGAGAATGGGAAACAGTGGGAAAGAGAGATCACAGAAAGACATTTGGTCCTTGAACTTTCAGCTAGTTTCAAAGGCTTTATATTTTTAGACCTTATGATCCCCCACAGTGGCAGAAGCAGCTCAGGCAGTAGTGAATGGCAAATTCTTGTCCTAAAAGCTTTTCAAGCAGTCGCAGCCGCCTTGATCAGCTGCTAGTGAGCGGCAAACCACGAAAGTTTAAGCAAACAAAATTTATTAGCTGCAAGACTCTTGGTTGGTTAAGTTATAGAATCAGTGTTATAAATGAAGACTTACTCATCACTTGCGCTCATAATGATGATGGCGATAATAATACTGCTCTCTTTTGCTCGTGCTATTTTTTTAGGAGAGAGAATTGGAGTAAGCATATGGCAAGTAAGAAAAGGGTGGAGGACCCCATCCCTCCCCAGCCACATTTCCCATCTAAAGAAGCTTTTCTTAAACAAGCAAACAAACAAACAGGCTATTACATGCAGCATTGGCAGCTCATTCCTGGAGCGGGAGGCATACTATGTTGTCCAAATGTTGCCAACACAGGGTGTTGTGCTTCTGCTTTTAGTTCATGAGCTCCCTATGCTATGCAGCATGTGGTAGGTTGTTTGCCCCTAAGGATTCTTTTTTTATTGTAAATATGAAACTGAAAGGAATTACTTAAAATGCTTGTTTTAAAGCACCATGCTGGAAAGAACATAAAGCTTGTTCAGTAGAAAATTGTGTTTGACCTAGTGTGGTTTGGCATTCTTTTCAGGGTGATTCTAGGAATGGTAACCCTTGGCAACATGCTTTCTTCAGTGCTTGCTGGCAAAGTGCAGCCATCAGACCAAGTCAGCAAAATCATCTACAAGCAATTCAAGAAGGTAATTGTGTCTTCCAGTGTGTGTCTCGTTCCTCCTCACCTCCACCTTCCCAGTATGATAGAAATTGCTTCTTGGAAATTTCCAAACCAATAAAGACAGGGGACTCTGTTTCACTAAAATGTCTGACAACAACTCGAGAAATTCAACATGTCCAGATGGTCATTCTGGGACAAGCTGCAATTTGAACAGGATGTTGACTCTAAAAAATTCATTTCGTTAAAAAATTTATGGGAGCAGTAACCTTAAACAAAGGTTATTTTGCGACGCAGCTCACCAGCAAAAAGAAAAAAGAAAAGAAAAGGCTGTGTTGTCTAACACAGGCAATGCCAGTTGTACAGAATAGGAAACAATGGAGAAGGGGTACTCTGTTAGGTATTTATCTTACTGTGCAGTCTGGGAAGTGTTTTAAGTATACTGTATGTGTGTGTCAGGGACAGCATGATTTGGGTTGGGAAGGTATTAGCAGAACAAAAATGGGGAGGGAGGATAGCTGCAAAATTAGCTTGCTTTTTTATCTTTTAAAACATGGATTATTTGCTCTCTGCAGATTCACCTGCAAGACAACTTGGGGAAGCTATCTCATATTTTGGAAATAGATCACTTTGCGCTGGTGGTACATGAACAGATTCAGTGTAAGTAACAGAACATCCAGAGGACCCTGGACAACTTCCCACCTCTTCACTAGCATGTTTTGAGTGGATCACATTATTAATGTGTCAACTGCTTTCCCACCAAATCCACTCAAGACAACTTGTGGTAAAATAGCAGCATGGTCAGTGCTATACTTGATTATGTCCACCTTCTGTATTTCAGGGTTATTTCTTAATAATAGTATGAATGGGAAAGAGCACTATATGAAATGTAATTAATATATTATTAGCAGTGCAGCTCTCCTGCTCTTCATGAGGTCAGCATCTCTTCTTGCTTGAGCTTGTTGTCATATCTGAAACCAGATTCTTGACTTTTCTAAGCACAGAAGATGCCCAAATGAACCAAGACACAATGGGACTGGTAATTCCTAAGATCTGTGTCTCATAGGGCAACACATCATGCTCTATAACTGTATTCAGATATTATCTTGAAACAGCTGAAATCCGCATGGGTATGGGGAGCACATGTACAACCCCTCCCCCATCTCCCCACCCTACTTGGAAATGAGGCCAACCTTTGTGTTTTGAGTGCAGTCTGCACTTATAATCATCTTCAGCTGTATACAGTGCTTCTGGGACCCTACCTTATCTTTAAGTGTTTCAGTCAGATGCTCTTTTGAAATGGCTCTGCAGATCTTCGCACTGAACAAAAATTATTTTCAGGTGGAGTGAGGATATTAGGTGCAAGAGTTCCATCCATTTAGCCCTTTATGTTTTCTGGCATAACACTTGAATAAGACTTCTGTCTTTCAAACAAGAATTTCAATATAGAACTATAACTTGAGATAGAGTCCTAGACCTCAGTTGTACCAGGGAAAACTCTTGGAAATGTGATTTTCAGATCATTTATGTCTGTATTTATCGTAGGTGTTTACTGCTTTTCCACATATCAAGGCTCCAAATGGGATGTACATTAGATTAATAGAAACATTCTTCAAAATCAGATTTAAAACAATCTTAAAAGCTACTTTTGAAAAAGTGCATAGTTGAGCAGGGTCTAAGAGACTAGAAACCACGTGTACACCTTGTACTTTGGTGATACCAAAGATAGGATCTTGTAAACATTGTGGGGTCAGTGTTTCCCTGAGAGGAAAAGATGAAGGCATATTTCTTTGACCAAGCTGGGGACATATGGTAAGATGGCCACTGGAGGAAGAGTGAGGGAATAGCATGCAAATATAGTGATATTTTGAAGATGGATCAGGTTTGGATTTGGATCCATACATTGAGTTTGTTGTGTTCTTCTCTCTTTTAGATCACAGTGATGGCAAATCCAGCAAAAGACAAATGGTGTTTGGAGTTGTCACAGCAATTGACTTGCTTAATTTTGTGACTACTCGGGAACAGCAAAGCAAGGCAACCTAACTTCATCAAGCACATGGGTAGAAGATGCTTTCGTGGTTTCTTCTCATCCACACCCTCCCTCAACTGTTTTGTCTTTTCCCTTGTTGTATCGTCGGAAAAAAATATTCAAAGTTGTTGTTTTGCTCTCAATAGACAGAACAAATTTCACTGGAGGATCACACCACAGTATATGGCACAGATCCACACAGTGGTCCTGAGTTTGGCTGGTTTTCAGTGAGAGGTTGCCTGTCCTGCACAGGCAAGCTTTAATCTGTTGCTACCAGTGAAACTGAAGGATCAAGAGCCACATGATGGTTGGTGTGATCAGACTGTTGACAATATGGGGAACTCTTGAAGGTACACTTACCCTGCTTATATGGCCAATAATATACCTGGAAACCTTTTCCTCCAATCACTGTTTCACTGAAATTAAATCTGGGAGTGATACAGAGGTGGTTTTTGATAATCCTACTCCTGCTGCAGCTGATAAATGTCAAGCCTACTGCTTGTCTTTGTAGTAAAGGTCCAGGAAGATATATATCCGTGTCCTGCCACAAACTTCACGGGAAGACAGCTTTCATATTTGTCCAACAGCTGGATCAGAAATGTTATTCTACCCGTGCAGTAGGCAGGTGGTCAGGATACATATTCTGTCTTCTGTGAGTTGCTAGCTGTTGAGACTTTTGCTTAGAGCCATGGGCAAGCACAAATGTCTTAACTGTGCACTAGATGCATGTTTGAACTGAATCACCTTAAAAGGCCTCAAAACACTGGAATTAAACACCCAATATTCTGTCCTTCCCTCTTTCCTACTTGCTAATGTCCTTAATGTCCTCTCTACTTACCCTGGCCAAATTGAGGAGATGTGGACTGTCGGGACTGGGGGGAGTTAAATTTTGCTAACACACAGCAAACAAGTAGAATGGGGAAGGTTTTCCACCAGTAAATGGGTAGGCTGGCTCTACCAATCACTCCAGCGTACACTTACTTTGTGTTAATGCTTTGCATTCTGAATCACTTTGTACAAAATTTTTGCAAGGGAATTGCCTCTGCAGCAGTATGAAATAATACTGTGATTTCTCTTTTGCTTTATGAACGTGATTCTGCCAGATATAACATGAAGATTCTGGGTTTTATAAACAGTAGAATGTCTATATTTTGCAAAGACCAAATCAAATTTTCTGTACATTAATTCTAATCTTAAATTGTTTATTGGTGTGTCTTAGTGCAATTGTATGCATCCATTCTTTAAATGGTCTAGCTTTATGTTACAGTATAGTCTCTGTTTTGCACATGGATGAGGGAAAATATTGCATTTTGTTATTTAAAAGTATATTTGGTTCTAAAACCTTCAGCTGTAATGTGAGATAGTGGCAAATATTTGACGTTGCATTTACTTACATTAATTTGTCAATCCAAATTGAACTTCTTTTTCCTTTGGTGGCTTTCTGTAACTTCCATTGGAAGCTTGTAAGAAGCATGTTAAATAACTGTAATATTTCCAGTCTTAGTGTCAGAAAACCCTCATTGCCACAGTCTAATTACACAGTTACATGTGTGAAAGCTTACTCATATAAAACTCAGATTTGCATACCAAACTTCTCACTGGGTCCCATGTTTATGTAATGAAGAGTTTGGTCCTGTTTGTAATGAAAAAAAGTAGCCTCAAAGTGCTTGCTTGGCATTCAGCATTCTAATCTTGTGAGCATTAGCATTTTTTGCTCTCCAGGACTGTGAAAAGGAAATTTGAAAAACTGTTCATTCATCTTTTGTGTTACAAATTCAGTATAAAGACTTGAATTAAAAATTGTTTCTGACAAACTGACCAGATCAGCAGCTTTGCTTTACCTTACTTGAAAACACTTTTGAATGCAGGATCATAGAAGTATCATCAGTTACTTGTTGAGATACAGCGAAACAGAGATATCTGTATGAAATACAGTATTTTCTTTTTTAGAGCTACTTTTGACTTCTACAAAAGGCTATTTCATGCCTGAAACAAGCTGGAGGAGAACATCTTTAAATACCAAATTGCTTGCCCCTGAGGCATGTGTAACAGTTATCTGCCTTTCCCTCCCCCTCCAAATCAAATATTTCTCAGGAGGAGCCTGGGAGGCACCAGTTGCCCCCTTCTGGCATAGAGCAACCATCAATGGGCGTCCACCACTGGACTGTGCTAGAAAGTTTAGTGCTAAGCAGCTGTCTGTCTCAAAGCCCAAGACTTGCTTCTCAGAAGCACACAAACAGCCATAAAACATGAAATCTGAAATGGAAGCTGATTCATGGTTCTGTGGCTATGACAGTGATAGTAACCCCATTTGGGTTCTCAGAACCAACTGGTTCATTGTTTTCATAATTTTTATTTAAATTATTTCCACCTATGGACGTGCATCTTTAGAAATTGGCCATCTTCATCTGGTGAATCTGGCTGGGTTGCACATTGGTTCTCTGCTGCACAGACCCAGACTTGGAATTAGTTATACAAATATGTGTCTCCTAAAATGGAGAGAAATAGTATCCAGCCCAGGCATGTTCACCAGATTAGGATCAGTTTCCAAAGATTTTTGTATACCCTTGGAGGGTGGGCTAGAATAGTGGTCCTGAAACTTTGGCCTCCCAGATGCTATGGATGTCAACTTCAAGAAGCCCCAGTCAGCTTGTCTAAAGGGCAAGAATTATGAGCACTGAAGTCCAAAACACTTGAAGAGCCAAAAGTTGTGAGCCACTGGCCCTTTTCTCCTTGTACCTCTTTAAATGACTGCACTGTGGTGTTTCTGCACTCATGGATGTTTTTGGGTCATGTTGCCTTCCACATTTCCATCTAGTGTGGGAACATCTTGTGGCCTGAGTAGCTAATCCGCAAACTTTGTGCTGGTGCATCCTGTCACGTTCCCGGGGGTTACAACAGCCGAAGTCCGATAAACCAGTCTAGGGTCAAGAATACCAAGAATGCAAAGCCAATGTCCATAAATTAACTCACAGAAGGAAGTCCAGTGTCAAAGTCCAGAGTCCGATACACAGCGTAGCCCAGAGTCAGAGTCCAAAGTCCAATACCGGCATAGTTCAAGGGCAGAGTCCAGAGTTCAGGGTCAGGAACACGATGCAAGAAACATGGATGCAAGCCATGGTTTTGACTCCTTGCTTCCACGGAGTTTCTGGCTTCACTGGAAACTTTTTTATAATGAAACAGCTCCTTGAGCTGCTGGAAAGCTTTCTATCCTGCTAATACTCAGGACTAGATGAACGTAGGTCTCTGTGGAAAGCCCCTTCTGGGTCCAGGTCTTCAGCCTGAGTAGCTAATTCACAAACTTTGTGCTGGTGCATCCAATTACTGAGGATATGGACAGCGGTATCTGACAGTTCCAGTTTCAGAAGGGCTGTGAATCCGTCCAGGTCTTCAGAAGCACTCATGACACATCCACTTACTGAGGATATGGACAGCGGTATTTGACAGTTCCAGTTTCAGAAGGGCTGTGAATCCACTCCAAGTTTTAGTCTAAACTTTATAAGAATTGTCCAAGGTGCTGGACATATTTGGAATCTCTGTCGCCATTAGATTGGCCTTTCAAGAGGAAAGAATCTACTCCTGGTGGTGTCTCAGAATGGCAAGGATTTATGGCAGTCTTAATGGATCGTGAGATGTATAGTTCTTTGAGAGATTTCTTATATAGAGCCTAGTAGGCATGATAGCCTGAGACTTCCATGAACTACAGTATTGCCACTCCTAGGTACCACCAGGAGCAGTTTCTTCCTTTTTGCAAGACCAATATAATGGCATTAGAAGTCCACATGAAGGTGAGAAGAGCACCTGTTTAAACTACCATTTGGGGACTGCATCTCCCAAGATTCTGTCTGGGGGAAAGAGCACTTACATCCCTATAGGATTCATAAAGTTGGATAGCTCCTGTAGAGGGCAGACTAAAACCTGAAGTGGGTTCACAGTACCTCTGAAATTGGAATCCCCTACTGCCATTAATTGTAGGGAACAGTTCTTGAACATCTCCACTACAGAGGTCATATGGAGGAGCTTATTTTCTAGGTGCACTAAGATGATGTGGTTGGTTTTGTTTGTTTTGCTTTTCTTTTCTTTTGCAAAAGGGCGACCCTAGTGGGATGGTGAATAGCCCAGAAGATGCCTTTTTATTCTAGGGCACACATGGAGATAGATATGATTAATTAAAAACTGGACTAGCCTACTCATGTGTAGATAAAACAATGTGACCAAGCTGAGCACAGCATGTTCCCTGCTGTACTTACTCTGTAGATAAGTAAAGGACTTCAGTCCACAGCTTATTGGCTTACACAGTAAGTAATAAATATCCCCTTAGAAAATAATTCTGTCTCTTTACCTTTCAATTGCTGCGTTGACTGGGAAGATTAAAGATTAAGAGGAAAATTACACGTATTTCCTAAAATCATCAGAAGTACTTTAACTAGAACAGTTGAAAAATAAATGTTAGATTTTATAGATTATTGCACCATTTATTAATTTCACTGGCATAATTTTTCAACAATAAACTGCCTAATAAATATAAATTCTGCTAATCAATATTGGCCGTTTGCCTGGAAAACTTGGGATGAAGAATGGAAAGTTTTCCTCTAGGTTTAATGATGAGAAGTTGGAATGTTTTGTGTCAGAACCATAATGCAGTATTACCAAAACTTGCAGGAATGTTTACCTGGAGGGCACCTACCTGTAAATTTACAGGAAAGGAAGTAGAATAGATCAATAGTGAAATGCACAATTAAACATGCTGGGGGTCAAGCTAAACATTAAGTAGACATGTATTTTTTTCTGATTAAACTTAGTTTTTCCTGCTCAAAAAAGATTTCCTTGGGAGGTTATGATGATGATTTCTCTGATTTATATTTATTCCTTATTCATGAGAGTTCAAGGCTGTTCAGTGTGTAACTCAGCAACTAGAGTTGCAAATTAAGCCTGTGTTTACTTCCCAGTGACCAGTTATAAAACAAATGTAAGACTCACAGTAGAGGAAAATATAGGACAGATATATTTTTACTGTGTGCACCTCCTAAGCATATTGTTTGACCTTGTGCACTCATGGAAGAGGTCTTTGAGCCACCTCTGCACTCATACGTTTCTGCAGCAACCACCATCTGAAAAGAGACCTTGACTGCAGCAGAAGGAGGCTGGTATCACATGAACAGTCAAATACCACCAAGAAACCACAGCGGCTATAGGACTTCAGGGCTTCCCAGTCAATCAAAATGTGACCTCAGTCTGAGCTGTAGCAAACTCACATTATCAAATTGCCAACCAGGGGTACTCACTTGTGTGTGCCTCTTGTCCAATGGGGAAAGCTGCAAAGGCGTGTATACACAACAGTTTCCTGATAGGCAAAAAGTCCTTGTATGGGCCCAGCAGGACTCACTCCATGTGGAATCCAGGAACTGACAGAGGTGCTGCGTTACGCTCCATGTGGAATCCAGGAACCAATCACCAATCCATCCCTGGCTGTGGCCATGCCAGAGAACATCACATACATGGGGTGTGGTCCATGTACAGAGAACACTTCAGACAAAAGATGTCATGAAACAAGATGGAAAAAGATGAGCTGCTGCCTTTAAATTTGCAGCCACAAAACGTGTTGATGGCGTTGAACACAGATAACTTTAACATTTAGTTGGTACTAGACAAACACACGTAGGATGGATGTAGGACCAGATCTGGACATGCTAAAATCCTGAACTCCGTCACCTTTTTACAGGGCCAGTACTCGCAAATATACAATGGTACCTCGACTTACGAATGTAATCTGTTTTGGAACGACGTTCGTACGTTGAAAAGTTTGTAAGTCGAAGTACCATTTCCAATTGAAATGCACGGGAACGGAATTAATCCATTCCAGCATTTCAAAAGGCAAAAATGCAGGGGGAAAGGTGCCGATAGCGGTGGTGGGGACCCCAAAGGAGGTCTCCCAGGGCCTGCCCGCCACCATGGGAGACCTCCCTGGGAGTCCCTGCTGCCATGATCGGCAGGGCTTTCCCCCCCGACATCAGAGGAAGCCGTTTGAGACCTCCAAACCCAAAAAGGCAGCAAGAAAAGAATTTCCAGCCCTTTCCCCCTGCCTTTTTGCAGGGAGCCATTTACGAATGGCTCCATTTGCAAAAAATGGCATTGACTTGCGAATGGAGCCTCGACCTCGTTCGTAGGTTGAGCTCCGTTCGCAAGTCGATGCCAAATTTTGCCAACACAGCCATTCGTAAATCGAAAAGTTCATATCTAGGGACATTCGTAAGTCGAGGGTTGACTGTAAACATAAACACACTCTTCCAGTATGTCTATGTATAAGATATATTCACCCTAGCCTCAATACCTTTGTCTAGAAAAATTATGTCTTTGTTTTCTGTCAATGTGAGTGTTACATACAGCACTGATGGTACTAAATTATGTCTTCATTTTCTGTCAATGTGAGCTGTGCCTCAGTGAAGCTTTCGGAGTCAGGTCGTTCCCCGAAAAACTGAAGCAGGCAGAAATGCAGAATGTGGAGCTTTTCCTACTCCAGCAAGAGATGAGGGGTGCTTTAATTTGAGTTCTGCCTATCATTCAGTCTTTATAAATAGAGAAGCCTAGTTAGAAACTGGTGTGAAATTCCACAAAATTTAGTGCTCTGGGTGCTGTTGTATCAGTTTTGCCTCCACCCAGTTTTCTGCCAAACAACAGGGACAAGAAAATGTTAAATACAATGCATGCTTCTTTTCTTCACATGATTTATTTTCCACATTCCATGGCACAAAGCATGCTCTGTTTTCATTTTACAATGTGGGCTTGGCCTGCAACAGACAGATAAGGGTTATACAACC